TCCCTCTCTCTGCCTACAACTGTTCATTCCATAACTTCTAATCTATATGATGAGCACTTGAGGGCTTGCCCCACAAGATCCATCAGACCTGGTCATTCCTAGTAGTTTCCACCACTGAGAGTGGAATCATCTACTCGCTATGAAGCCCTCCAGGGTCTGACTCAGGCTGGATGACACAGTTGAGTGATTAGTTTGATGCAGACACACAACTTTCTGCAACTGTATTTCTGCCTTCTGCTTCCCAAAGCCAGAACCTTTCCCCTCAACCTTTTCCTTGGCTTCATCCACAGTAGTTGTGCAAGGGGTTTCAGCCACCCATAATTCCATCAGGCCACTCCAAAGCAACTTCATATAAATATGCAGTCCATAAAAAGCAATAGGAGGCCAGGCACAGTGGCTTATACATGTAATCCCAGAACTTTGGGAGGCTGAGGCAGGTGGACCACCTGAAGTCAGGAGTTCAAGACCAGCCTGACCAACGTAGAGAAATCCTGTCTCTACTAAAAATACAAAAAATTAGCCAGGCATGGTGGCGCATGCCTGTAATCCCAGCTACTCGGGAGAAAGAAGCAGGAGTACCACTTGAACCTGGGAGGCAGAGGTTGTAGTGAGCCAAGATAGCTCCATTGCTCTCCAGCCTGGGCAACAAGAGAAAAACTTCATCAAAAAATTAAAAATTAAAAAAAAAAAAGCAATATGAGGCCTGGCACAGTGGTTCATACCTGTAATCCCAGCACTTTGGGAGACCAAGGTGGGCAGATCACTTGAGCCCAGGAGTTCAAGACCAGCCTGGCCAACACAGCAAAACCCCATCTCTACTACAAAAATAAAAATTAGCTGGTATGGTGGCACACATCTGTAGTACCACTATTACTACGGAGGCTGAGGCAGGAGAATCACCTGAACCCACAAGGTGGAGGTTGCAGTGAGCCAACATCAGGCCACTGCACTCTAGCTTGGGTGAAAGAGCAAGACACTATCTCAAAAATAAAAATAAATTTTAAAAAATATGAGTGCTACCCCAAAAAGCAACATGAGTGCTGCCCAAATGAACTTGCTGCTCCCCTTTCAACCTGACTGCTACTCCAAGCCTCTTCTATCAGGAGTTATGTGTCAACAGGCAAGTAACTCATCTCTGATTTGCCAATGCAAAGGTAATACCTGAACTCTACCCTGGGTACAAGGTATTACCTGGCACTATAAGTGCTGCTGAGAATGCACAGACACCACCACCCATAGTAGCCACCACCTGGACAGTGAATCCTATATATAGGAGGTGCTCAATGCTTGTTGAATTAAAGACTCAGGAGGCTGAAGCAGGAAAATCGCTTGAACCTGGTAGGCGGAGGTTACAGTGAGCTGAGCTCATGCCACTGCACTCCAGCCTGGCAACAGAGCAAAACTCCATCTCAAAAAAAAAAAAAATGAATGAATGGGTAAATGAATGAATGGCACAACTGCAGAGGAAATGAGCACGCCCTTCCTTTGGGGCCCCACTGCACCACATACAGAGCCTGGCACTTCCCAGACTGCATAGCGTGTATGGGATTAAAGGTCTGTCTACCACTGGACAGTAAGTTCTGGAGGCAAGGACTGTGATGTATTCAAAAGCTTGTGAACCTCCTACTATGTGCCAGGCACTGCGCTGGGTACTGGCAGGATCAGAGTGGTGAACTAAACCAGGTCCTGCCGGTGGAGCTCCCTGTCTACAGACTGATTGCTCCTTCATGTCCTCGCCACCTGCTCAGTCCAGGGACGCAGTAGACGTTCAGTTAAGTGTTCCTCCTCCTTTGCTCACCAGATCTTTAAAGAAAAGATTTGAAGCTGTTCCACTGAGAAATATCTTTTCATTTCTTCGGAGAGGCTCAAAGGTGATCTTGTAGCCTCTGAGCAGTTCACGAGCAGATTCCTTTAACCGGCTCCAACCCTGCATCCTGCTTCTTTGATTTGTTGTTGAAACCATGTGCCTTTCTGGGATGACCTTGTGCCTCCTGCTCCTTAACCCCTTAAGGCACTGTTCTAAAGCCTCTGATCTTCTTTAACTACAGTTACTCACCCCAAGTTAATGAGTTTACTCCCTCATATTAAATGGGCAACAGTCATGGTTCTCCCCGTCGTTGTACAAAGGGTATTTGTTTTGGATGGTCAAGTTAATCCCCACCCACTAGGGGGGCAAAATGGGCAGGTTCATTTCAAGAGATTGGGAGGAAGTTTGGGTTTCAGCACTTGGTAACATTTACTTTGAGGGAAATCCTCTCTCTGCATCAAGACAAACTTCCTGGAGGAAGAGCCTGCCAATCATGCAGAGGGCTCTAAAGCAGCTCCCAAGCATTGGTAGTAAGAAGACTTAGCCAAGAAATATTCACCATCTCCCAGGCTTTCCCATTACTAGAAAGCAGTGAGAAACAAACGAACGAAAGAGAGACATCACAGTTTGCCTGCCATCATCATTCTTTCATTCAGCCAACACTTAAGAGCTCACAGCCCGGGCAGCAGACACACGACTGGCCCGGAAGGTTCTGCAACAACCAGCACCTGGTCCTGACCTCAAGGGCTTCACTCTTTGGTGGAGGAGACAACTACATAAAGAGATGATTACAAAGCCACCCTTTGGAGAAGGTCCAAACTCCTTAGCAAGGCTATGTTGTCCAGGCTGGAGTGCAGTGGCTATTCACAGGCATGATCCCACTACTGATCAGCACAGGAGTTCTGACCGGCTGTTTCCGACCTGGGCTGGTTCACCCGTCCTTAGGCAACCTGGTGGTCCCCTGCTCCCAGGAGGTCACCATATTGATGCTGAACTTAATGCAGACACCCGATCAGCATAGCACACTACAGCCCAGGACTCCTGGACTCAAGAGATCCTCCCACCTCAGCCTCCCGAGTAGCTGGGACTACAGGCACTCGCCACTGCACCCGGCAGCTATGGCTACTTTTAAGTCACAGTTTCAATGCACTAAGTGAAATGTCCAGTCGCAGGAAGATAAAATGTCAAAACTTAAGGTTCAGGCATCTTCCTTTTTCCAGTTGGAATCTGCTGCAGATAGGAAACCTCTGTCAGAGAAGGAGACAGAGGCATCTTTGCTGGCTTGGGGAAGGAGCATTCCAGGCCAAGCAGCAGTTTAAGCAAAGGCCAGAAGTAGCACCACTTGTTCAGGGACTCCCATGCTGCTTGGTGTGGCTGAGACATTGTGGTGGGTGGAGAGAATAGGGGTGGAGGTGGAGGAGGTAAGGCTGGAGTACGCCACAGGAACCAAATCATGCAGAGCAATCTCTAAAAAAAAAAAGAAAGAAAGAAAAAGAAAAAGTAGCCATAGCTTTGGGTTTTTAAAATTTAAGTCTGGCCAGAAATTTTTGAGGCTTTGTCTCAGTTTTCATCCAGGGATAGGGAGAATAGAAACCTCCAGAAAAAAATATAAAGGAATTGAGAGACAAAAAGATAAATCTATGTTATGATCACATCCTAGGAGCCACAACTGCTCAACCTCCAGGCAACCCACGTCTGTCTTTCCCTTACACTGAGTCCCTTCCTGCGTGGAGGAAGGACTGTGCAATAAATGTTCAATGAAGACGGGGTGGGCACGGGATGAAAAAGGGAACTGTGTAGGGCAGGACAGGCTCTGCCCAGGGAGCACGTGCTGGTGCAGGACTCAAGACTAGCACTGCCTAGGAGTCAGCCTCAGAAGGAAGCCCTTGAGGGCTTTAACATCTGCCTTTCACTATGCAGATAAAACCAGCAACTTTATAACGCAAATGCACCCCAGAAAGGCAATGTAAGTCCAAAGAAGTATCAGTCAAAGTGTGGACAACACATGTCGGATCCTTTCCTGCTGGCGTTGTGCTTGCACAGTGGACACCAGGGAGAGCCACAGGGACCTACCTAAAGAGAAGCGTCATCACCAGGTACACCAGAGAGAAGAGATGGAGGCCACATGGCTGACAGCCCATCTGTGTGCACAGCCTTAATCTTCCCAACCGTGGGATGTGCAGCCTGTCACAGTGAAAAAAGCGAGCCTGACAGGTTAACAAACCTGCCCCAAATCACACCGCCTCTAAGTGACAGACTGGGATTCAAATTCAGGTGTATGCAGCTCCAGAGCCCCTTCCAGCAGGCCACACTGGTTGACTCTGGGTCAAATCTTCATCTTCTTCCATTTGCTTGGAAGCTATTCTGTAAACCTTCAACTCCATGCATTTGAGAGTTGAGAGATGAAGGAGCCATCCCCACAGTCCACGCAGGGCTCGAAGCGGTGGAAGTCGGAGGGCAGGGTGGAAGGCAAGGCTGCTGCTGAGGACAGGAGGCTCTCCCAGGCTTCAACAGTGCCCCTGTGCGCACAGTGCTGCATGCTCCTGCCTCCCCTACCGTGGGCTCCTGCATAAGCGGGAGCACCACCCTCTGTGGCAGCACAGGGACTGGGAAGAGCAGCCAGCACACTGTTCACCCACCCCATCCCTGCTGGCTCCCTCACCAGCCAGCCTCACACTGCAGCTGGACACCCACTGTCTAACACGTGGCGAGTCAGCACGGCTGGACCAAGCACCTATCCAGGAACCAAAAGTCACAGAACCGCTCCAGGAGCTGGTCAAGAGCAAGCAACACTAACTATCCTGAACCCTTGTCAGCCTTCATTCATTTCACTCCTGCTGAGAAACATCTGGGATATGGCCACCCCTACTCCTGTGACCTCAATACAGCCCTGTCACCTGAGGAGAGGCCCCCAGCTCAACAGCAGGGGTGGGACAGGGGACTGGCTCAGCTTTGGGCTTAGCCTGAAACCCCTCAGCTTGCCCACAGCCTGGTAGGACCAATCTGGCCTCACCAACTGTTGTGGAGCAGCGGGGCCAGTCTCAGTCTCCTTCTCTGAAGAATGACCCCTCCTGGGCAGCTTCATGTCTGACTCTATGTTCTCAACAGTGGATGACACTCGGCGGGGCAGGTTTGGAGGGGTGCAGACAAGGTATGCTTAGGGAATGCGTGGCTTATCAGTTGAGAAGACACACAAGCTTCCACAAATTGATATATTTACTTCATTGTCAGCGGAGTACCCACGCACATAAAGATATCTCTGAGTCACTTTAAGTCACATAATTGCAAGGACACAAACACACACTAGTTGATCCCTGTGGCTGAATGCCCTTGGGGAATACTCAAATCCCAGTGGGGTTTCTCTGCATCTTCTGGCCACTCTGGCCATTCTCCCTGAGGCCACCCAGACTCTCCGGCTCCCTTCCATCCTTCCATGATGGAGGCAAAGCAGGGAATGGCAGTCAAAACAAATTGCAGGTGTGCAGAGGCCTGGACAGGCCTGAGTTCACCGCAGCTGCTCTGGCGTCCCCCCCTTGGTTCATGTGGTGTGACTTCACCACTTAAGGACGCTGTCAGCTCCCTGGAGGCAAGGCCCAGGGCTTCGACTTCCGTGGGCATGGAGAAACAGTGGTCAGGAAGAGCAGCTCCTTGGCAGACTGCAGGGTGCGTGACAACTGTGAGGGCTCGGGGCTGCATGCAGGGACAGGACAAGCTAGCAAACAAATAACTGAGACCTGACACTGAGTGGCCTGGCGCAGAGCTGTGCAGGGCGCTGTTGGAGCAGAGGAGGGGCGGGGCAGGACGGCTTCCTCAGAGGGAGCCTTTCAGGCTCCGCCACTAGCATCCTGTGTGAGGCACTTCACCTTCGCCTTACTGAATCTGGGCTTCAAATCCAGAGCTGTCTGGTTCTAAAGCCCATGCGCTCTCTTCTGTACAGGCTGCTCCCTGAGGGGACATCTGCTGTAGGACTCACAGAATGATAAAAAGATCTCCAGAATAAATGGATCACTTTCAGAGAAAAGTAAAAGAACAAAAATACAAAAATAAAAAAGACAGAAAATAAACAAAAAAACACCACATTCTCCCCAAATTTCACATGGTGAGCAGCTGGAAGTGCAAACATAAAGGATGCTGACAACATGGCTGTGGCAAGAGAAGCCTCCGGAGAAGCAAGGTCAGCTTCTCCTCCCGATTTCTGGCTCTTTCAGCCAACAAGGCCAATGGATCTTGCAAACCCACTGCTGCTTCTGAGCTCCAGAAGAGGGGCCTCTCAACATCCAGAGGCTAGGAAGGTCACTCTCAGGGTTCTCAGTTTTGCTTTTTATACTGCAAGACAGAGAGATTCAATGTGAAGGAGGGAAGCCCACAAGGGCAGGAGGACTCTGGGGATACCTCAAGCCCCCATGATATGGGCCTCCTCTGCCTCCTGCAGGGGCTTCTGGGAGGTGGGGAATCCAGGCAGGAGGCACTGGGCAGTCAAATCTCTACTTCATGCCTGGACTCCCTTTCTTCTTTAATGAAAAGGGAAGCTGGCGGGGCTGGGGAGGAGGAGAATAAGGAAACTGAGCACCTGTCCTCTCTGAGTCTTGTTTTAGGGGGAAAAAAAATCTCAGGTGGAGGAGGACCCTTGGAAGCCAGCTGGTACAATTACTGGGTTTAAAAAAAATGGACCCTGGGCCCATACCTGAAGAGTGTGAGTTAGGACAGGGAGGTAGGGGCACACTCCAACTCTCTAGTCATTCTAATATCAGAGTCTAAGGGCCAAGACGCCAGTCTACATTCCTGACTCACTCCCTTCCTCCACCAAAACATACTGAATGCCTCCTCTGTAATTCTGCCCCAGTGTGAATACCCCCCAGAGATGGGGAGTCCCTCCCCAGGACAGCTTTCCTCTCTGCAATAGCTCAATGCCACTGCCGGCTCTGCACTACGGCTTCCAGGAAGACTGTTCTCTCCTCCTTCTTCCTGCTGCTCCCTCTCAGCGTGATCAACACTGTTGGGCAAAAAACTGCCTTAAAGGATGAAGAGTGACAGCCCCTCCACACTTGAAAATATAAATGCAGCCAGAAGGTATCTGCCATCACCTTTCAGCTTCTGGAGGAGGGAAGCAGCTGGATGGTGGCCTCCTCCACAGGGACCATTCTCAACTGTGGGGCAGGAGTGGCCTCTAGTGGTCATGGGGATCATGGCCAGCATCACCCCAGCTCGCAGGCGGAGCCAGGAGGCTTAAGCACCTACTTTATTCATGATCCAGTCAGCATCTTCAATGGCTCTTTTAATAATTTGCTGGATTCTCTCAGGGTTGTCTTCATCTGAATGAACCCGAAAACTCTGCAAGTTTAAACATAAAGAAAGATGACCAGATGAAATTCCCAGGACCAGCAGCTTCAGAGCACCAGTTGGGCAGGTACACTGCTGGGCACTTCATACCCAGCAACTCTCTTCATCCTCCATAGATGGTGATGATTGTCCCCTGTAGAGACGAGGAAACAGAGGCTCAGAGATCCTTACTTGCTGCTGAACAACAGCATTTGAATCCCAGTCTATGTGACTGCAAAGCATGTACTCCTGCCACCAGGGGAGGTGCAAAACTGGCCAAGGTACCCCAAAATCAAGCTGGGCCCAAAGGCTATCAGGCCATGGAGGCCAAAGGGAACTTCCATCTCTCTTCCTCAGAGGAAGCTGCTTTCCCCAGGGTGAGATCTCTGCATGGGCTTCACAACAGGGAGGAATAAGCAGGGCTTCTCCAGATAGCCACACAGGGAAGGGAGGGGAGGCAGTAGAGAGAGTGGCTTCAGGAAATCCACCAGGCCCGATGCAGAGCATGGGCCGCTGTTTGCTTTTGACCAGATGTTCACCCTTGAGAAGTAACCTAAGATTCAAAAAGAACTGGCGCTGGGCACAATGGCTCACCACTGGGTGCGGGGGCTCATCCCAGCACTTTGGGAGACTGAGGCAGGCCTCCCAAAGTGCTGGGCCACCTGAGGTCACGAGTTTCAGACCAGCCTGACCAACATCAGAGAAACCCTGTCTCTACTAAAAATACAAAATTAGCCGGGCATGGTGGTGCATGCCTGTAACCCCAGCTACTTGGGAGGCTGAGGCAGGAGAATCACTTGAACCTGGGAGGTGGAGGTTGCAGTGAGTCCAGATCGCGCCACTATACTCGTCTCAAAAAAAAAAAAAAAAAAGAACCGGCACCTCCCCCCCACCCCACCCCCGTCACTCCCGACGCCACACATCCTCCTGCTCCTCTTTAGGAGCCCCCTCAGCATCCACCTCTGGGATGCCCTCCCTGACTCCCTAGACAGCTAACTGCTCCCTTCTCCATGTTTCCACAGCCCTCTGTGGCTACTGCTACCTCCATTTTTTTTTTTTTTCACTTTCCATATTATATTTGTAAGAATTTTAGCTAACTTACTATTCGGAAATGATTTCTCACTTACAGAAGGTTGTGGTAATATGCAAAGAATTCCTACCAGAATCATCGATTGTTAATATTTTGCTACGCTCGTTTTATCATTCTCTATGTCTATGTATACGTTTTTTCAGAAGTATTTAAGAGTAAGTGCAGACACACTGCCCTTACCCTTAAACATCCCTATGTGTATATCCTAATAAAAAGGGCGTTCTCTGACACGACCACAACAATTAAATTCAGAAGACTTAATATTGACACACTATAATCTATAGCCCATATTCCAATTTCATGCACTGCCCCAGTAATAGTCTTTTTTTTTTTTTTTTTTTTTTTTTTTGGGGCAGGATCTCACCTGTCACCAGGTGAGAATGAAGTGGCACAATCACAGTTCACTGCAGTCTTGACCTCCTGGGCTCAAGCAATCCTCCCATCTCATTTGTTAATTTTTTTTTTTTTTTTTTTTGAGACAGAGTTTCGCTCTTGTTACCCAGGCTGGAGTGCAATGGCGCGATCTCGGCTCACTGCAACCTCCGCCTCCTGGGTTCCGGCAATTCTCCTGCCTCAGCCTCCTGAGTAGCTGGGATTACAGGCACGCGCCACCATGCCCAGCTAATTTTTTGTAGTTTTAGTAGAGACGGGGTTTCACCATGTTGACCAGGATGGTCTCGATCTCTTGACCTCGTGATCCACCCGCCTCGGCCTCCCAAAGTGCTGGGATTATAGGCGTGAGCCACCGCACCCGGCCTAAATTTTTTTTTTTTTTTTTAATAGAAACAAGGTCTATGTTGCCCAGGTTGGTCTTGAACTCCTGAGCTCAAACAATCTGCCTACCTCAGCCTCCGAAAAGTGCTGGGATTACGGGCGTAGGCCACCACGCCTATAATCTATAATATTTTTTTTAATTTTTTAAATATTTATTTTACTTTTTAAGATGGGGTTTCACCATGATGGCCAGGCTGGTCTTGAACTCCTGACCTCAGGTGATCCACCCACCTAGGCCTCCCAAAGTGCTAGGATTACAGGCATGAGCCACCATGCCAGGCCCGTAATATTCTTTACAGCTATTTTTTGGGGGTCTAGGATCCAATCTGGAATCATGCATTACATTTAGTTACCATGTCTCTTGAGTTCTCTAATCCAGAACACTCTGTCTTTCTTTGTGTTTCACAACACTGACATTTTTGATGACAGGTCAATTAATTATGTGCTGGATGGCCTCTCGATCAGGGTTTACCTGATGTGTTCTTAGGATTAAATTCAAGTTGTGCACTGTTGGCAGGGATGCCTGCGAGATGATGTCGTGCCTCACAGTCTATTTTAACTACCCGCTTAGCTGCCTCATGCATGCCCTAGAACAGCTAGTGTGCTGGGTGATCCACCCTCTGTTTCCTGGACAGAGAGGAGCTGGGCAGCCGAGCACTGGTTTCCTGTGGCTGTTACCACACTGCCACCTCACCACCATCGGAGAGACTAGCCCTGTGCCCTGGCCTCTGACCCACGCCCCCAAGCCTGCCATCAGAGGCAGCCCCCAGACCCAGTGGACCCAGCTCACACCTGCCTGAGGGCATGCTTGTAATGCTGCTGGATGCCCTTGGTTGGCAGCTGCCGGCAACAGCGCAGCAAATATCGGTAGAGCTGCAGTGGCTTCTGAACCAGTTCTGCCCCTGGCAGTGGGGCCATCTGTGAGACTCTCTGTCCCTGGAAAACAAGGAGCATCACTTCTAGGGCACCAAGCCAAGTTCTAGACTCAGCTCTGGCCCCCAGGTCCCAGCACTTCGGGAAGCAGGCATGGTTGGTGCAGAGGCCCAGTGCCCCTCCTGTCCCATCGCATGGAGCCTGCACCTTGGGCTGGGCTGGGTGTTTAGTCCTGCAGAAGCCCCAGCCCAGAGCAGGCCCGCAAGGACCAAGAGTGAGTGTGGAGGGAAATGTACAGCCTCATCCCTGGCATCTTCTTCCTGGAACTCAACTTCAGGTGGTGTATGAGTAGGTGTCCCTCACAGGCAGGGTAGGAGAGATAAGCAGGAAGACCCTGAGGGGCAATCACTAGGAAACCAGCTCTGACATTAGCCATGGCTAGTGAGAGCACAGGCCACAGAGGGGAGAATGCCCACAGGCATGAGCCTCGAAACTCAAAGTATGCTCCTAAACCAGCAAAACCCACAGCACTGGGAGCTCGTCAGAAATGCAGTCTCAGGCCCCATCCCAGACCCACTAGATCAAACCTGCATTTTAACAAGAATGCCAGGAGATTTGCATGCACATTTTAAAGTTTGAGAAGCATGAATCTAGGGGGCTCTGCACAAAGACACTGGACAGAGTCACTATGGTACACCCAGAGACTGGGCATGTGACTTCATTTTACTATGAGTTATGATCAGAATGACAATGGGCTGAGTGAGGTGGCTTACACCTGTAAGGTGGGCAGATCACTTAAGGTCAGGAGTCCAAGATCAGCCTGGCCAACACGGTGAAACCCTGTCTCTACTAAAAATACAAAATTAGCCAGGCTTGGTGGTGCACGCCTGTAATCCCAGCTACTCTGGAGGCTGAAGCAGGAGAATCGCTCTACCCTAGAAGTAGAGATGGCAGTGAGCTGAGATCGAAACACTGCACTTCGGCCTGGGCAACACAGTGAGACGCCGTCTCTAATAGATCTGTCTCTGACAGATGAATCACAATGAGCACTTGTTTGTCTCTATTTACATGTAATTAATGCACACATAAGAAAACCAGTCACAGAGAGGTCTGGTAACCTGCCCAAGATCACACAGCTGATAAAAGTGGAGCTTGGATTTGAACTCTGACAGACTAGCCCAAGAGTCTTATTCTAACAACAACAAAAAAAAAAAAACGCTGTATTGAGGTACAGTTGACATATAGCCAACTTCATAAAGTATGTAATTTGGTAAGTGCAGCCACAGGTACACACTGGAGAAGCGAGCACCATAATCAAGACAGCGAACATATCCATCATCCCCAAAAGTTACCGCATGCCTTTTGTAATCCCTTCCTCCTGCCCTCTCGACATCCCCAACCCTAGGCAGCTGCTGCTCTGCTTTCTGTCACTAGAGTTGTGTGCGTTTTCCAGAGTTTCGTATAAATGGAATTACACAGCATACTCTCTTTTGTGTCTGCAGAACCCACATTTTTCTCTATATTAAGGCTCTCTCTAAGGAACCCACAACTCTAGCCTAAACTCCTTTTTTTTAAGGGAACGATGAGAGTATAGATTGTTTTAAATGGCAGGTTCTAAAACATATGGGCTTGCTAAGCTTTCATCAGGCTCCTGCCTGAACCTGGTATCCCAGTCCCTAGCCTGTCACTCCAGTCTCCACACCGACACCAAGTGAGCACTGGAATCAGTGTCCTGGGCACATCCCAGTCAGCCACAGGAACTGCTCCCAGACTCCCCAAACCACCAAGTAGGGTGCTTTTCAGTGCACGTGCAGCTCCCTGGCCGCGGACTCCTTCCCATCTCCTCCATGTGAGGAGCCTTGTTCATCGTTCCAGGCTCAGCTCTGTGTCCTTCCTCCAGGAAGCCGTTCCTCTCTGGAGACAGAGGGGCTCCCCCTGTCCTCTGTGGGGCTGCAGAGCCCTGTTCACGGTGTTGCCAGGGACTTATCTGCTACCTCACCTGTAGCTCTCTCTGGGCTAAGCACCTGGCCTGCAGTGGGCTCCACTCACTGTTAACTAAACAGAATGAAACTACTATCTCCTCTGTACAGAGAGACACCCTCTATGTTCCAGATGAAGGAGCTAAAAGAGACCCAGTGACTGGCCTTAGTTTTAAAGGAACATACAAGAAAAAAGACAACCCCCCTCCTGTCACCCCCTCCAAAAGAACCAGAAACTAAATCTATCAGATGCCCTTAAACTAAGAAGGGAAGCTTAGCTGGTTCCAGAGGCTCCTTTATTCCATTTACAGCACATTATCTCCTCGGCAACAATAAATGTGTCTCCTCAGCTATGTTAGCCAATTCCTCCTGGTTCCCTGACTCTTGCTCTGATGCTGGAGTGGACAGATATTTGTCTGACCCCCACCATCCATTCTCCCTTCTAGTAACAGCCTCAATGTGCAATCTGGGGTGCACTCCTCCCCAGGTCTCAACTCAGAAGGTCTGAGTGGGACTATATCCAGTCCTAATCTATCAGAGATCTGCATCCACGTGGGTACAAGGACTGGCTCACACACAGGCATGTGACAAAAGCTAGCTAGTTCAATCAAAGAGCATCACAACACCTCTGCAGAAGTGGTGTGAAAGGACTCTAGCTCCTTCGCACTAAACTTGATGCTGGGAGGATTTGATCTCTCTCAGTGAAGCCATCCTGCCTCTAGAATCCTGAGACCACAGCCACATAGCAGAAGGCAGAGCTGAGACCCTAAGAAAAAACAAGCCCAAAGAATTTATTTATGCCAGGTGTGGTGGCTCACGCCTGTAATGCCAGCACTTTGGGAGGCTGAGATGGGTGGATCGCTTGAAGCCAGGAGTTTGAGACCAACCTGAGCAACTCAAACAGCCGAGGTTGTTGTTCTGTCACTTGTAACCCAAAGGGTACTAACTGTCGGACAATCCTGACCTCACAGATGCTTCCACGATGCACTCTGATGGTTCCAGCTGTAAGGAAGAGTTGAACAGGACAGGGCTCCTCAAGTTCCTCCTGCTATCAATCATGACCTTGCCAGTCCAACTCAATATGCTTTAGCCCAGAAATCAGAGGGGAACCCATTCAAGGGTGGCCAAGACCATCAGAGCAACCACAGGAGACACACCACCGAAGTTCCCCACCTGATGGGTAGACTCCACTGGCAGGCTTCCCCAAACTATATAAAGTAGTAATCAAATATTGTAAAATGCTAGTCGCGGAACAGATGGTTACCATCTGCAGTCCTCAAAATTAACATTTGGAAAGAGCACAACTTTGTTTCATTACTTAAAAACTCAAGCAATACTTAGTAACCAACCCAGCAAGTATGGGCGGCAGATTATTTTCAGCTCAATTATAATACTTAGTCATTCTCAGTAATAACTAGTAGAGAATACATGTGTGGGTCCACTTAGAAGAGCTAAACTAAAAATGTTTTAATTTAATTTAAAGTGTGGGTTTGCTATTATTTAAGGGGCAATGAACCTCATAGCATCTTTGCTAAAACTGCAGTGAAAGCCTCTGGCCCTGGCAACACTTGCCTCCCTTGCCCTGCCCTTTGGACTTGATCGTGGCCTCTGCACCCTGGCTCCCCATCTCTGTGATGGCTCCTCCATCTTCCCAGGCAACCAAACCAAAATCATCACCAGCAACCCAGGTTCCTCCTTCTCCTCAATCTCCATGCCACTGGTTTCTAAGTCCTATCAAATTTCATCTCTGAATGCCCCTCACATTTGTCCCCTCCTCCCTACTCCACTGCACACCCTTGGTTCGGACTCTCCTCTCTCTGGGACAACTGCAACAGCCCCTAGCTGGTCTCCCTGTCTTCCAGTCCATTTCCTGCCAATTTACTCTGCCCAACAGCCAGAGTGAATCTTTCTAAAACATAAATCTCAGGGTGTCCCGTCCTTCCACAAACCCCCAATATCCACTCCTACTCCCATCAGTCATGGCAACTTTTCCCAAAATGTTGAATAAATACCTGAAACTAATTTAAGTAGTATATGGCCAGCATTTTTTATTATAATGATTTTAAATTTATTTTCATGTGTAATGAGGGGGAAAAATACATTTTCATAGGTATTAATTGCCTAAGGCAGTTTTTTCAAATGGGCATAAAATTATTATTTTTTTTGTTTTGTTTTGTTTTTCTATCAGCAGCATAAAAACGTTGCTTTTTTTTTTTTTTTTTTAATGTATAAAACAAATAACAATGCAATTAAAATGTGGACCTGGCAAAAATCATGAGGGTCCTGAAGTGTGGAAAGTATCGGTCTTTCCTCACTTTTTTTACAGAATAAAATCCAGGCTCCTTTCCATGGCCGCAAGGCCCCTCTCGATCTGGCCCATACCTACCCCTCATCTGCATCTCTCACCACCCACAGCCTAGTCCAGGCAAACCGAGCCCTGTATGGCGCACTCCATGACAGCCCATGCTGTGTTTGCCATTATGGTCTCAGCACTGGGACAGAATGTCTGGGATGTATTAGTTGGGGTTTTCCAGAGAAACAGAACCTATAGGACTGGCGCGTGTGTGTGTGTGTGTGTGTGTGTGTGTGTGTGTGTGTGTGTGTGTG